CCCGGCGGGTTCCGGTCCAGGACTTAAAAGGGCGGCCCAGCCGTGTCCTGCTGGGTCAGGCCCACCTGCACCACCAAGGTCTCTCCTGGGGGGGGGATGGGCTTAGCCGGACAGGGCAGGCTCAGGGACGGAGTCAGAGAAATCACCTGCCTTCAGGTTGAGCTGTTCCCCTGGGACGCCCTCCTGTCTCATGTCACTGACCAGGGATGCCCCTCCAGCTCACTCCCTGCCCCCTGCACTGGGCCTTCCTACTGCCCTGAGCCCTCCCCACTCCCCAGCACGGCCCCTAGGCCGTCCCCCAAACTCCTCCTGGCCTCCAGGCTGCCCAGCGCCCCCCGTCTCCGTGCCTTGGAGTCACTCACCCAGGCTGTTCTCAAACTTGTTGGATTCCTCCCCGCAGATGTGGCCGTGCAGTTCCGGGAACTGAAAGAGATGGGAGAGGGGGAGGCTCACAGGCATAGACGCCCGCTCCCTTTGCCCGGGGGGGGGCCGTGCCCTGATGGGGACCTAGGCAGCGCCTTGCCTCGGGGTCTAAGATGCCCTCTCCCCTACCCCCGCTAGGCACCCGCCCTCGCCCGCGGCAGGCGAGCGGGAAAGGCCCCAGCGGTACCTCCGTGCCCACATCGTGCTTTATGACCTCCTGGATCAGCACGTCCGCCAGCGTCTTGAAATCCTGCACAAACTTCTTGTTCTTGTCGGCGCCCGTCTTCTCCTCGATGAGCAGCTGGAAGAGCGCCTCCTCCTGGCGGCACAGCTGGGCGATGCGGGCCGACTTCTCCGACGCCCCCACCAGGCTCCTCAGGAGGGCCGCCATGGGGGAGCAGGGCCCCTGGGGAGTGGGGGTCGGGAAGGGAGGGAGGGTTAGATGCACCCTGTGTCTCCCTGCACCTTCCCCCAGGCCAGGAGAGACCAGAACCCACCAGACAGGGAAAAGGTCTGTGGTTAGAGGGGAGGACTGGGGCTCCCAGGCACATTGGGGGTGGGGGGCAGGAGCCAGGACTCTTGGGCTGGCCCAGCTCTGGGCCTGACTGGCTGCACAACCTCGGACAAGTCCTATCTCCAGGCCTCAGTTTCCCCTCTGAAATGGGGTGGGATGAGATTTGCCCCCTTTCATGGGGCTGAGGCTCAGAGCATCCTCCAGCTGCAAGACAAGCGGGAGCGGGGCCAGGGCCAGCGCTCGCCATCGCGGCGCCGAAGGGGTTAACAAAACCCATCTCAAAATAGGGCCAAAAGCAGCTGCCGCTAATTGCAGGCCCCGAGGGTGTTCTGAGGGGGGAGCCGCCTGCCAGGGCTCCCCCCAGCCCCAGAGGGCTCTATGGCACATGCCAAAATTAACTCAAACTGCTACCAGATGTGACAGGCCCGGCCGAGAGCCATAGGGCGGGGAGATGCCACGAGGGCTCCGGCCTGGCCTGGCCTGGGGGAGGGGACCCGAGTCGTGCAGCCATGGCGGCTTGGGCCTGGCTCGGGGGAGCTGCGACAGGGGGTTTGGGCTGGTGGGGGGGTGCCACACAGGCTGCTGCTTGGCTCACTGGGCCAATCTGGCAACGTGTGGGGGAGGGGACTGGCTGGTGGGGGGTGCCACACAGGCTGCTGCTTGGCTCACTGGGCCAATCTGGCAACGTGGGGGGGAGGGGACTGGGGCAATTTCCCTGATCCACCCCCTCCTCCCAGATATGGGCTGTCCTCCTCGCTGACTTGAGGGGCTGCATAGG